ACCAGCAGGGGGTAGACACTCAATGCAGGAGCTGCCCCCTGGTGGTCAGTGCACTCCCATGGGGGAGTGCTGCTCAGCCAGAAGCTGGACTCATGGCTGGCATGTGCAATGGCAGTGACAGGAGCCTCTCCCACCTCCACGGCAGTGCTAAGGATGTCCAACTGACGGCTTTGGCCCCCACAGGCTCACATCCCCAGAGGTCTCCTGGACTGTGAGTGGGTGCAGGCTGGGCTAAGGGACGCCCCCCTCCAGAGTGCGTGAATTTAGTACACCAGGCCTCTAGTACAGTGATGGCGAACCTTTTGAGCTCGGCATGTCAGCATTTTGAAAAACCCTAACTGAACTCTGGTGCCGTGTCACATATAGAAATTTTTTGATATTTGCAACCATAGTAAAATAAAACAAAGATTTATATTTTTGATATTTATTTTATATATTTAAATGCCATTTAACAAAGAAAAATCAACCAAAAAAATGAGTTCACGTGTCACCTCTGACACGTGTCATAGGTTCGCCATCACTGCTCTAGTATATATATATTTACACACACACACACACACACACACACACACACCAAAGGCCTGGTGTGAAGTCAGCTTCAGCCAAAGTACTTGCGCTGGGCCGGGTTGCACTAATGCCCAACAAAAATCAGGATAATTACCAAGAGAAGGAGAGATGGATGTTGGGGAGTCATGCTCTTGTCCCTTCACTACAGAGCTTGTTGTCTTTAAAAGGCAAGTGGGGTTTCTGCTTTTAAACAATGAGGGCTCTATAATGTAATCCCAGTGAGTGATCGGCCAGTTTTTGACAGTTCCTAACATCCTACCACCAAGTAGGATGGTTAAAAAGCCCTGTAGGGCCGTACCCATCATCTGGGGCTGGAAAGAGATTGGACCAGAGCATCAGACACACCTAGTTTGAATCCCAGCTTTCCTACTTATTGTGTAATCAGGTTTGTAGCAACCTCTCTATAGGTCTCTGACTCCCACATGTAACCTGGGGGCAATAAAACAGGAAATTTTGCTGCCCATGAACAAAATGTGCTTCTAGGTAGTCCTTGAGAATGGATTGGGCATGGCACCATAATTCTCTATAGTCCCATAAACTTTGGTTGATTTTTAGTTTATTTAAACTAGAAAGACTGGTTGTTATAGCTCTGTGTTAAGTGTCACTTTTGGTTTTTGGACACTTCTGAGAATGTCAATAATGAGTGATTGTGGCATTTTCCCTAAAGGCCCTGTAATTTTGTGCTGTGATACCTGTGTTTAGGTGAAAGACTTATTTAATTGGTGCCACTCAAAGAAGTAATTTTGCCATGATGGTCCCATGGGGCAGGCTCTCCTGCCCCATCCCCTCAACCTCTCACTGACAGGTACTCTTTATCTTCATCCTACAAATCAGTGTCACTACCCAGAAGAGGGCCTGCACAATGCCTACCTTCTTGGGTATCTATCTGAGCAAAGTTGCACAGAAAAATAAATCCGAGGCCAAAGATGTTCTCCCGCTAAAAACATGGGCCATTGCTGCACGGACCTTCAGTCCTGAGCAGTGAAAAAGACTCCAGGAAGAGGGTGATTGCTTTTGTATTGTTGGGTGAGGATGAGGACTATGTATTGTGGGGGTGCAATCTATGCTCTAACCCTCCCTGGACCAGATAGTAAAAAAAGTCCTCAGGGGAAGGTGCTCGCTCCAGTTTCTGAGAGTTCCAATAGCTGAAACCCCTAGATTTGGGGTTCATTTCTCTGTTTTCCAGTGTCTCCCTGCCACACTGAGATTTTCTGCTAGGAAACATATATCCTGTTTATTTAAAACATGGTTCCCTGCAGTGATGATTGTGATTACTCTAATATTTGGGTTTGAAAAATAATGACACTATGCTTTTGAATATACCAGTACACTGTAATGTTGCGTTCATCTGAATTCAAAGAATACATCTGGGGTCAAAAACTGCGTTTTCCACGTACTACCTATATGATCCTCGGGCAAATATTTTCACTGAGCCTAAGTTTCCCCATTTGTAACTTGCAGATATTGATAGTACCTGCTGCTACCATTAATATAAAAACAAAATGAGGCCTGGCCAGTGTGAGTCAGTTGGTTGGAGCATTGTCCTGTGCACAGGAAGGTCACGGGTTCCATTCCCAGTTAGGGTACATACCTAGGTTGTGAGTTCAATCCCCAGTTAGGGTGTGCAGGGGAGACAACCAATCGTCTCTCTCTCTCTTCACCTCTAAAAAAAACCCAAAACATATTGTCAGGTGAGGATAAAAAAAAGAGTAAATGAGATAAAAGATGTCAAGAGCCTCATAATTAGTAACTAAATTTTAGTTACTGTTTTTTAAAAATATATTTTTATTTCAGAGAGGAAGGAAGATGGAGAGAGAGACAGAAACATCATTGAGGAGAGAAAATCAATGATTGGATGCCTCCTTCACACCCCCCATTGGAGATCCAGTCTGCAACCCAGCATGTTCCATCCCATGTGGGAATGGAACCGAGACCTCCTGGTTCATAGGTCCATGCTCAACTCTACTTTTTAAAATTTGTAATGAAAGTAACTTACAGGAAGAGTGTGGAAGACACACTTATTTGCATCCTTCTTGACATTGAAAACTACCGTCTTTGTTTGAAAGAAACTCAAGCTAAATGCAAAATAAAATTATTGAAGTTACCCAGTGTGGATTTTTAAAAAAATATTTGATACTGTACTAAGTAAACATGGCAGCATGTCTCATTGGTTCATATGGTATCAAGTCTGGACTTTGTCAGCCCATTATCCAACGGTTGATGTTAGTGATCCTGCTAAAATTCCATATGACATAAAATGACTGCTTCCTGGGTATCTGCGGACACAAGATAACACTGTGCATCCAGAGAGTTCTTCATTTAAAAAAATGTTGTCATTTGTGAACCTTATCAACACTACAAATGTATTCTACATACATGTCGATGGAGTCCTTGTTATTTATACTGCTTCCCTCAAGAAGTGTCCAATTTTGTCCAATTTATTATGAACACATGTGCACCCAAAAATATGGCCTCAGAACTGGCTGTTTTGGCTCAGTGGATAGAGTGTCGACTGGCAGACTGAAGGGTCCTGGGTTCAATTCCCAGTCAAGAGCAATGTACCTCAGTTGCAGGCTTGATCCCTGGCCCTGGTTGGGGTGCATGCGGGAGCAACCAATTGATGTGTCTCTCTCACATCAATGTGTCTCTCTGTCTCTCCTCCTCCACTCTCTCTAAAAATCAATGGAAAGATATCTTCAGGTGAGGATTAACAACAACAACAAAAATGGCTTCAGATTTTTGTAGTAAGATTACTGCAGAGAGAAATACATATAACAAGAATTGTTTTTGGAGAATGAATGCACCCTTCTCAATAAGCTATTGACTTCTGGTATCGCCTCCCCAATGTGTGCTTCCAAGTTGGCTCTGCAACTATCCCTGCTGATATGATACATTTCAGAATGCATATCATTGTTCCACCCACAAAAGGGTGATAGATTTTATTACTGACCAGATTTTATCTACTTGTCCCAATACCACTTATTAAATAAACTAAAATGTTCCACATTGATTAAACACCTTATCATATGCTGATCACCTTCTGGCCTTTCTTTCCTCTTCTATTGATATGTTTATGCACCAGTAACACAATTTAATAACCATGAGGGCAAAGCTGCACTCATATTTCTCTTTTTTCAAAATACTCTTAACAATTTTCACACATTTATTTGTCCAGAAGGAAGTTAGGATAATTGCAATTTTTTAAAAATCCTGTTAGATTTTTATTTGCATTGGGCTTTCCAGGTAGGCAACTGCATTATCTGTAAATAACAGTAAATATTAATTTATATTTCTGTTCTTATTGTATCAAGTAGAACCTCATATATATATATGTGTGTGTGTGTGTGTGTGTATATATATATGTGTGTGTGTGTATATATATATATATGGAAGAATCTTTCTTCTTATTGTATACTAATATTTTTAAAGTCATAAATGGATATTAAGTTTTATCAAAATATATTTTATCTAATGAGATTATCTTAGGGCCTTTCTCTTTTAACTTATTCATATGAGTAATACATTTAAAAGTAAACACTAATATTAACAGATATTATTTAGTGTTTATTATGCGCTAGTCACTTAAGTGAATTACAGATAATAATTCTTTTAACCTTTACTACTAAATATGGTAGATACTATCAAAAGCCCTATTTTATGGATGAGGAAACTAAGACACAGAGAGATTAAGTAGGTTGAACAAAGCCTATTAGATCCATTTCAAGATGCAAACCTGATCCTTGGCTATCTGACTCTCTTAAATCACTACACAGCTTCTTCTTTTTTTTAATCCTCACCTGAGGATATTCTTTCCATGGATTATTATTATTATTTATTTATTTTTTAGAGAGTGGAAGGGAGGGGGAGAGACAGAGAAAAAAATATCGATATGAGAGAGACACATCAATTGGTTGCCTCCTGCATTCTCCCTTACCAGGGCTGGGGATCGTTCCTGCAACCAAGGTACATGCCTTTGACCGGAATGGAACCCGGGATCCTTCAGTCCCACCGGGAGATGCTCTATCCACTGAGACAAACCGGCTAGGGCAGTCCATTTTTACATTGGGTACATTATCTTATTATTATTGAGTTGTAAGAGACCTCATGTTGTTAGGTCTAATCAAATAATTGAATCAACACCCCTTCCCCTGGACCACTTCCAACCGTCTCTTTCACTTAGATCACATTCCACTCGCTAAAACCATTACTTTCCCCTCAGGACTTGCCCCGAGAATTGCCCCGAGAAAGCCCCCCTAGAGTCCTTCAAAATCTAACTCCCTAACCCTGGGTACTGGCGCCATTTGGGGGTTCAGCTCATCTGGCTTTCCAGATGACCTAATAAATTCATAATTCTTTACCACTTTTAGGCGACCCTAACATATGTACTAGTCTAGAGACAAGTCTGGCTTCCTTTGGGGTACTTTTTTACTCACCTGCTCACATCTCGTTCCCTCTTACATCACTTCGGTGGGAAGCCAGATGTGATGAAATGAGGCCGCTCAAGCAGGCTATGGCGAGGTTCGTGCGCCAATGAATGGAGGTCTCTGGCCAGTAACCAGCGAGGAGGGAGGCCTGTCAACAACCAGATCCGCGATTTTAGAAGTGGACTCTCTAGTCCATCTGAGCCTGGCTGTGACTCGAACTGGGAACTGGGCTGCAACCTCGAGAGAAACACTGAGCCAAATGCCTGTACCTGATCAGACACTGTGAGTGAATACATGTTCTGGAGCGAGACCTTCCGCCCGCCCAGTGCCCGCCTCTTGTGCCCTCGCGAGCTTGCCCCAGGGGCCTTTCTCATTGTGCCCCTCGCATCCTTGGCATCACCCCCTCAAACCTGCCGCCCCAAGGTGCGGGGGCTCTCAGCGGCTGCCCGGGCGCCCACCTGCGATGGGTGGTCGTCCGGAACGGCTCCAGCTCCTGACAGCGAGGGACGGGCGGATTTACAGCCCCGACGCCAATCACCTTTTGCTACAACTGGCTGGTTCACCGGAAGTGGGAGCGGCAAGAAGGTGTGGTGATCGTCGTGAAGCGGATATCCGGCCAGCGGAGCACCGTTAACAAGAAGGCCCCGCCTCCTTGGGCAGCATCCTGCACAATACCTCCGGGATCTGCGCAGGGCCGCCATCCGCCATCCGCCATCCGCCATCCG